AAAATTAACCAAACCACTCTATATGGATCTATCTAGGTTTTTAATTTTCTTTTGGCTCAATTGAGTCTATATAATAAGCGAAATAGAGCCGGATAGTGTTTTGGGCCTAGTGTTAACGTGCGACTCTTACAAGAATGAAACCCAGCTCTGATGATTTCCATGATATGATGGAAGAAAGCTCAGCATGCTTTCACCCGAAACGAGGGAGGAAGTCCCGTGGACTACGTCAAAATGAATATCGTATAAAAGCCAAACGGCTGCAGTACAACAAGATTCATCCGTCCTAATCTGGTGAGATCGACCAACGAATCTCTTATTCATTCACTTTCCTACGAACTGAAAGTCCCCCTAACAATATTACCTCAAGAGATTCATCGAAACACAGTTTCTCTTCATATCTACAATGATATGTTTTAGGCGTGGTGTCTGAGGTAGCCTGGTACCGTCTATTGTCACTGACAGTGACACTTCATTTATGAATTTAGCTTTTAATTCATCTTTATTTTAAAAAGTGAGGCTAAAAGTTATCTTGGCTTAATTAGATGTTCATGTCTAGAGAGAAATATCCTAAAATAGTTTATCGTATTCTCAGGAATTCAATAACTCACTCTCCTACCCTAAATAAAAATGACCCGTTTCTGTTCCGAACATCTCCAAACTATTCAAGTTTAGCGTAGATCTCCAAACCTTTTAAATATAAAACGAAGGAAAATAGCCAGTTTCCATGATTGCCACTATATTTTTAAAGATAGTTAACTCTCAAAGAAAAGAATACTTTTCGTCCGTAGTGGTATTATTGTGGTACGTATAGATTTCCGAAACTTTAGTATATATTTGAAAATAAAAATAGTCTAGAGTGTATAGGAGTTATTAAAATAGTTGCCATAATAGAATGTCTATAAATTATCCTCTATCATTTTATATTAAGCGCCCAACGTTATCATATACCATATAGGTTCGTACGACTACTTTGTTTCAAAATAGATGACATATGAAAAGACAGAGTACAAAATCACTTGAACTCTATATCATTCGCATTACTGAAAATTGGATATTACGCTCCCTAGTCCAGGTCAAATTCCGTGTGTAATGTTAAAATAGGTTACATGATTGTTTACTCATTTTGGTCTTATCTGGTTCAAAAAGTATTTTGAGGAGATAAATTTATGATCGTGTGAATTAGTTTACACCTATGAGCTGCTTTATTACACAAAGCCTTGTTTAAACTTATCAAATTTTAATTAAAATCCCATTTTATTTAATTCAATTGCTTTCTTTATAGAATATAGACTTTGTTGTTATGTCAGACAGTAGTTGGCTCAACCAGTGTTCAACACCATGCATCACTTATGGCTTACGCGGTATAATTTACTTCTATGTGGAAGTTATGGGGATCTATTCTGTCCTGCACTCAGGCTACCATGGTGGTGCAGTTTGTGAGCCAATGCACGATCTGATAGCTCTGCTAGCCTCATTGGTAGACACCTCTGGATTTCCTGTTGTGCCTGGAATATTTGAGGATGTTCAATGTGATGATGAAGAGGAACTAAAGTGAGTGGAACCTGTCATAAATGGCGTAAATACTCAAGCGCACCCTGAAAAGAATTTTTTATCATATAATAATCCGTATAAAATTAATCTATACGATTTAAATTAATGTTTAAAAATTAGGATTGGTAAAAAATTTCGACTATCAATGCATCATAAAGTGGAATGTATTCTAAATTTTCGTGAATAAACAACGATTTAGTTAGAAGTTGTTTAACCTTGTTTTCGCAACTTGGTCATATTGGTAGGAAGATCTAGAGGAATGTACCTAATGCGGAGGGCATTGCATGAATGATAACTTCCAGAATCGGACCGTGGACGTGGTACATTTGCAGACGTTACGCCGGCATCTTCAGTGAGCCTTGCCATTCTTAGCACAACATTACAACTCGTCAAAGAGACAAGGGAAGCCGATTCTTTGACCAATTGTCTGTTAAACAATCATGCTAACTCTCCTCCTACCCTGTGCTATTCACCAATCCTATATCTTTGTATCACCTCTTCATTATCACAATTTCTCAATTGCTTGTGGTATGGTGTGCCTTTTTTTAGCGGATTTCATGAGAACTCTCCAAACCCCACACTGGCTTACTCACCCCCTCACCCCTCAATCCTCTTTCCATAAGTTTTATCAGAGTCTCCTTCTTGCGCCTTATGATCCGCCTCCTGCCGTCCTGGTTCAGGTAATTCACTCAACCCATGCTACCCTATCTGTACTACTCGAAGCGTTATTTCCAACACTGTCTCAAGCCCTTAAAGACACGCCTAATCCTTCCTCGCTGAGTAGGCCCCTAAAAATCAGGACTCTCAAGCTAGGTGGGAGACTAATTTGAGACTAAAGCCTTTGCTTCATGGACGATGTCTATGCTTAAATGCATCTGTTGTTAGCCAACTAGCCCCATGAAGCAAAGGCTTGACAATGAGAATTACTCGGGCTCTTTAGCCTCAAGTTAGTCTCCCACCCAGCTTGAGAGTCCCGATTTTTAGGGGCCTACTCAGCGAGGAAGGGTTAGGCGTGTCTTTAAAGGCTTGAGACAGTGCGGGAAATAACGCTTCGAGTAGTACAGATAGGGTAGCATGGGTCTAGTGAAGATCTTGAGCCAGGAAGGCAGGAGGTGAATCCTAAGTGGCAAAAGGGATACTCTGATAAGACCTATGGCAAGAGGATTGCAGGGTGAGGGGGTGAGAAAGCCAGTGTGGGGCTTAGAGAGTTCTCATGAAATCCGCTAAAAAAAGGCACACCATACTACATTTAAACAATTGAGAAATTGTGATAATGAAGAGAGGATACGAGGATATAAGATTGATGAATAGCCCAGGGCAGAAGGAGAGATAGCTTCCCTTGTCTCTTTGACGGGTTGTAGTGTGGTGCTAAGACTGGCAGGACTCACTGATGATGCCGGCGAAACGTCTGGGAATGTACCACGTCCACGGTCCGACTCTGGAAATTTTCATTCATGCAATGCACTCCAAACTAGGTGCGTTCCTCTAGGTCTTCTTGCCAATATAACTACTTCATTACGGTAAATATAGTTTGGGTAAATTCATTGATCTAATAAATAGACTAAATGTTAATAACAAGTTTATTATGGAGTTAAAAAAGTAAAATATATTGCTTTTCTGGATATATTAGTTAGCATAGGAGGTAATAAGTTGGTCAGAGTCGTGTGCAGCAAAATCAAGGTCAAAAACCTCCATAAAAATCTAGGTTAGAAGGAGAGGATAGATAAGTTCCATACACTGATAGTATCCTTAGTTGGTTAGATAAAAACAAAATTTTCATTTTTCTTACTCCTTCACATAATATAAAATGTGGATATTGTCTTATTTAATAAAACTATTACTCCTCTCCGATAAAAATTCACTAATATAATGATATTTATTGTTATGGTTAATAGTGCATCTGCTTGTCTATTTTAATCAACTACATAGTTCAAAGCAACAAAGTACCCTAACCCTATTCTCTCCTGTGATTACGAATCAAAATATCAGTAATTACGACTTTATTGCATACTTCTACTTAACTTACAGGTAAAAAGTTGTACCAACTAGTTATCTCCTGAATTACGATCATTCGTGATCCAAAAAGGTTGAAAACATCATACTTAAATGCCATCTATACTTTTTATTTGGGCTGTAAAAAATATATTCCCTTATTTTTTCTATCCTTCTTTGTTGGCTTTAAGGTAGTATCCATTTTAACCGCATTGGTTATGACCTAAATTTATAATTTTTCTTACTCCATAAGAAAGGAGAAGGTCAAAACATAATTTTAATGTATAATTTTGTGCTCTTGTACTTTTTTTATTCCATGATCTATTAACTACCAAAAATTGAGAGTGGGAAGCGCCTTGTTGCTTGATAGGCGTCTAAAGCATATTGCTATAACATTAATTTTTGTGAAGCCAAGTATAGCTATCCAGAAAATCCAGCTTAAGCTAAAATATTTACTATGGCTGATGATTAAAGTAAATTTATTTCAAAAGCGCACTGCTATTTTCATTACTATTATCTTTATTCATGTGAAAGTTAGCTATAAAAATACTATGCCTTCTTGAACTATAGAAGCTTCAACTTGTAACCAAAATTTTAGTTTTTTCAAGTTCATGTTACTAAGTTAAGCCTGCTTTCTGGCCTAAGGCCAAGAGTATTATAATTAAAAGGTATTATTCCAATCTCGGTTTACAAACACATCCCTTTCGGTACCATATCTACTTGGTGGGATAAACTGTTTTCACCTATTCTTCTTAATATGTAAACCCTTAAGTAAAAGAAGTAACAAACAAGTATGAAGGCAGACATTTCACATGTAAATACCGTCGTTTGCTAAATAATTTGATGGGTAGATAAATAACGTTATTAGTGGCTCTAATTTTACAAATATATTCGAAATCACCTAGTTGAAGGATTACTTGAAGCAAGTAAGATCTTAAGTCAAATATGTTATGAACTGTACAGGTAATTTCTTGCAAATAATGGCATGATTATACCAGGGAAGCAATGCCTTTATATTTAAATATTGAACTTTTATTTCTCCTATCTAAGCTATACCATGATTTTCGTGGCGACTATTATTAAATTTATGCAATAATAAATAACTTCCGGTATGAAAGAGTTTACTCTATTTAAAAAATGATGTTTTTGTGCTGAAAAGACTTCACAACTTTTATAGAGGTTGTTTGACCTTGTTTTCGCAACTCGGTCATATTGGTAGGCAGACTTAGAGGAACGCACCTTATGCGGAGTCCATTGTATGCATAATCATTTCCAAAGTCAGACCGTGGACGTGGTACATTCCCAGACGTTTCGCCGGCATCGTAGTCAGCATCTTCAATGAGTCTCGCCATTCGTAGCACCATATTACAACTCATCAAAGAGACAAGTGAAGCCGATCCTTTGACCAAACATGTGCTAAACAGTTGTGGTATCTTCGCTTCTGCCCTAACGTTTTCACATTCCCTATCTCCTCCTATCACGCCTTCACTATCACAATTTTTTACTTACTTAATTAGATGTGGTATGGTGTGCCCTTTTGAGCGGCATTCATAAAAACACTCCACACTCCACTCTGGCCTTCTTACTCCCCTTCTTCCTTGTGCTGGGAATGTGGATCACAGTCTACCATATTGTTATGCTGTCCTCCTTCCCTAGGTCTTACCACAGTCTCTCTCTTGCCCCGCTAGATCCGTCTGCCCTCTCTCTGTTTCACATATTTCACTCAACCCCTGCAACCCCATCCTTGCCACTCGAGGCGTTATTGACCCTACCCTGCGTCTGGGTGACTAATTCGAGGCTCAAGCCTCTTAGTAAGTCTCATGATCAGGCCTTTGCCACATGGACCACGTTTCATATATAACCTACTGCCAGCCGAATAGCTCCCATCGCCGCCGCGTCTATCCTGTTTCTATCTCTAATACCAAGTCTATGACTTTCCATGCCCTA